CAATATAAATAAAAATATAATTAATTAATTAATTCAATTATTCTACAGCTGGTTTATGATTTCGTTCTAATATATACATACAGTAAGTAAAATTTTTAATAACAAAACTCCAGAAAAATATGCGAACAAAAAAGTCAAGTACGGCTTTGGATCAGTTGGTTAAGGTGCGTTGATTCTGATCACATTTGGCAGGACCCGAGTTCGATTCCTGGTACTTGCAGTCTCAAAAATAATTATTTACGAATAATTAAATACAAGAATTATTTCCAAGACCACTGATGAAGGGTATTTGGCAATACTCGAAACAGCTGTATGGTCAGCCAAAAACTCAATTAATTAAAATAATTTAAAAAATAAATTTTTGTTGTTGTTTCACTTCTGTTCGAAAACCTCTTTATTTATTTAATAAATTAATTTAATTTACTTTCTGTACACAGAGTTTCTGTGTTAAGTGTATATTTGCGTGCAATATCGTACCATTTCTAAATTTGTTTAAAAATAACTTTTTTCAAAAAAAGTTCATATATCCCAATTTTTATTTTTCTTTATATATGAAAAATACGCTACCGAATTCTAATTTCCGTACACCAATCGAAAAATTTTTCAAAAATTTACAAAGATAATGCATTTTTATAGTTTTATTTCTTTAAATACTTCTGTATTGAACTATTGATATTGATATTTTATATCACTTAACTACTTTTTGTTATTTATATTTTTGATATCAAAATCCAAAAAAAATAAACAGTATACTTCATTTCCACTCCGTTTCACGTATCTACCTGGCTATCCTCCATTAGTAAACTACCTGGCACATGATATGTGTTTACAAAAGTATTTTGTCCATGGTTACGAGAAATAGGGAACTTCATGTCACAGTGGTGGCGTTGCATTTGTTATTAATAATATCTTCAGCATGGGCATTAAAAAATGTAACCAAAGTGGCTCATCTCTCTGTGGCGGTGTTTACCATATTGCTTATATACAGGTAGATATATGTTAATCCTGTTAACTTAATTTTCAATATATTTTCTTTTTAAGCATTCTAAGTATAATACGTTACTCACATCCCGCGGAGGTTTGTAGGAAGTCTTGGAAACAAATTTCTGTTTATGGGCAGATATTTATGTTAATGTTTATATTATTAGATATTTTGAAATTTTGTAAAACTTTGCATAAATTTTGGATATGTTCTACTGGTTATATTATGATTTTGATGGCAGCCATTTTCACTCTGCAAATAAAGGTTGCCTATTTAAGAGTCCTGTACAACATTTCAAAACATGTTGCTGTAATATGGATGTGTGTTGTTTTGGCAGTTGTTGGATATAAACATATGGAAACTTATTGGACTTTTGGTTTGATGGTGCTTATTGTACTTAACCATTTCATGTTTAACAAATTATCGCTAGTTTATGATATAACGGATATAGAAATAACAACAATTTGGTTAAGTTTTTTTATATATTTTGCACAAAATGTAGTTAATGAAGTAGCAGTTTTACATACACATTAAAATCTATAAATTTGTAACTGTTGTATTACGAAACTATACATATTTTATGTTTTATAATTTGGATTTAATGGCAATGGTGGATGTAGTAAAAGCGTAATTGAAATTAGTCTGGATTGGAAATTTGGATCACATCTCAAAATTCCAGGTCCTTGTCGTAAAGCATACTGATAGTTGCGTGAATATCGTCACTAGCCAGAACACTGTACCATAGTGCACCGAAATTAATACTTACCTTCCCCAAGTGGGTGATTACTTTGAGGCTAAGAACCATTCCTGCTGTCAATAAACCGAACATCGTACGTGTGATGGTAGCATGCTTAAGTTTTCTGCACATATTGCTATGTTCAGTAGTTTAAAGATTCTCAACAACAGGCTGTTCATGGGTAAAACAAGGAAAAATTGTCGGATACATAGAGCAATTGTTAAGGTCAATGTTACAATCCACAGCTCTGTTAGCTGCATGCTGTCATCATGCGGTATCTGAAATGATCTTAGTAAAGCAACATAACCAATTGCTGTCAAAAATATTTAATTTTGTATATATATATCTTTTTGTAATATTTTTCAAGAGCCCTCCTCAAGCAATATCTTTTTCGACATCTTTGCATTAAAACAAATCTTTTGGCAGCTCTAAAATCTGCCTAAAATCTTCACTGATGAAAACTGGTTGGAGCAATTCCTGACATAGCCCACTAAATGTCTGCATACAGGTAGATTAGGTTAGGTGGATATTGAAATGTTTAGATGTCACTTCCAATAACTTAAGTAACAATTCAATCGAGAGCGAGAGAGACTTGTTTGTTATTTTTGTATTTACCAATAATATTAATACATAATAATATACAATTTAAGTACATAACATTATACCTTAACCCTGGACGCATAATGTACGTAAATTTGACGTACACGTTTTCGTTTTTTACAGTTATTTCATTTTTGTGTTCATATATTGGTCTCGCGCTCTTGATATGTTCAGTCGGGATCTAACTCTTGCGTAAGGTATATGATAAGTGTCGGTAAGTCATGACATAAGTTAGATATTGAGTCGTTGTACGTCATTTTTACGTATGATTATACTTTGTGTAACTCTTATGGCTAATAAAGTATTTTGAAAAACTTTTATTTCTTTCAAATTTCAGTAAAATTTTAATAGAAATGGAATCAAAGAGATTTAATATTGTTGAAATATTACAAAAAGATGAAGAAAATGACCAGAAAGGTGGAAAATCTAGTTCTAGTCGAACATATTGTGCATTCTGTTCATATAAGAAAAAAAGAATGACAAACATTAGATGTAGTTCTTGTAAAAAGCCGATTTGTAGAGAGCACAATCGTGATACATGCTTTAAGTGTATTTCTGCATAGGATTAATTATTATTATATAACTAAAATTAGCTGATTTGAACCAAAGTTCCTATACATATAATAATTTTAATTATTTTCGTAACATTTATGACGATCTCAATATGACTTGCTATTTGTATAAGCTAACTTTAAGTTGTTCATTTTATAAGTATATATAAATTTCATTTACTTTTTTGTTTCTATTATTATTTTTTGATTTATTCTAAATAAAAATAAAAAAAAAATATTAAGAAATATTGAAAATTTACTCTTAATACATAATTTTGAAAAATGCAATTCCTTTTTAAGTGAAAATCATTGGCATATTATATTTATTATGTTTATTTAAAAAATGTGTTTGAAAGTATTACTGTTTTGTTTTAATTCGAATAAATAAATACTTCTTTAAAAACTTGTAAAAAACTTGCACACATTTAAATTAATTTAACGGCAAAATATAAACTCTGAAAATTGCACGTCATTTTTACGTATGATTATTCTTAACGTTAGTAGAATTATGATTATACGTCCAGGGTTAATGAATACCCCTTAAGCTCTGAAATCTTTCGGTTGAAATCGGGATACGCATTTTCGTGTGCGTTCACTTCTGCGCACGGTGGGTGTTTCTTGAAATTGCTGAGCTGCATTTCTAACTTGAAAATCTTGAGGTAATTGTTCTTGTGACGGTTCATTGATGGTTTACTGCTGCTGTTGTTTTGATGGTTCATTGGCAGTTGGTTGTGACGGTGTTGACTGGCGCATTCAAAGTTGCAATCGTTGCTAAATTTTGTCGTCACTGGCTGCTTTTTTGATGATTTTGTAGCTGGTAAAATTTGAGTAAAAAGCATTTGAACCATTCTGCCGTGTAGCAACTCTGCAGGAGACTTATTGTTGGAATTTGGCATAGAGAGGTAATCACTAAAAATTTGAGGACAGCGTGCCACTTAATGAAGCAGTGGCACGCTGTCCTCAATGTTTTTCTTCACAAATGTCTTAAAAGTACGCACAATACGTTCTCCTAAGCCGTTTGAAGCCGGGTGAAATGGCTGAAATGGCTGTCGGGACATGTTTAATGCCATTTTCCAAGCAAAATTCCTTAAACTGTGGGGATGTAAGTTGCTGACTGTTGTCACTTACTAACGTTTCCGGTAACCCCTCTATGGCAAAAATTGATGTTAACGCCTTTATTGTATGACAGTTGGACAATGTACGGATATTTGGAGAATGCCTCGACACATACGAGCCACATATGTTGATTGAATACCAGTCCGGCCGATGAGGACGTATTGCCACGGACGTTAAGCTTCGGGCCACGAGCTAAATTCCTTTGGTGGACTGGCTGACGTTGTTTTACATATGTTGCATGACGATGCGAGTGTCTCAATATTTTTGTCGATGTCCGGCTACCAGCAGTATCTTCGAGCTAATTGTTTCATTTGAACTACGCCCCAGTGGCTTTCGAGCAACAGTTCAAGAGCGCGTTGGCGCAGTTTTGTGGGAATTATAAATCGATTTGAATGGCCCTGTAAGCAAATAATGTTATCAATAATAACTAAAGAAGTATTACGTTGGAAATAGGGCAGTATATCTGCCTGTTGTGGTCCTACGGATGTAGGCCACCCTTGTTGTATGAAACGGTGAACTTTCATGAGAGTTATATCCCTCTTCGTAAGAAATCGGATAACCTCTGCATCAATTGGGGTATCCAGCTCTTCGAATGCAAAACAATTGTTCTCTTGATCAAAGTTGTTATCCGGACCTTCGGGTAGTCTTAAAAGGGCATTCCCGTGTTGTACTGTAGGTTTGTATTTTATGTCGAACTAATAGGCCATTAGAATTATTGGCCACCGTTGTAGTCTATTTGAAGTTGCTGTTGGCAAGTATTTTCCTGGATTAAAGATACTCACCAGTGGCTTGTGGTCGCTGAATAGCGTGAACTTATGGCCATACAAGTATTGGTGAAACTTTTGAACACCAAATACAATCGCAAGCCCTTCTTTTTCTATTTGACTATACCTTACTTGATGAACGTTGAGTGTCTTCAATGCGAATGCAATTGGGCGTTCGCTGCCGTCTGCGAAGATATGCGAAATTACTGCACGAATACCTGATAATGAAGCGTCTGTTGCGAGAATTATTGGTAAGTGCTCCTGAAAGTGAACTAATTGTGTTGCGTTCACTGTATGCTTCTTTAAAAAGTTGAACTCTTCATGTATGTGTGTCCAATTAAATCGAATATTTTTCTTGCGAAGTAGGTTTACCGGAGCAGTGAGTTGCGACATATTTGGAATGTAATTATAATAATAGTTTATCTTACCAATTAGAGATTCCACTTCTTTGAGATTTTCAGGCCGTTTTAAGTTTTGAACGTCTGTTACTCCTGATGGTTCTGGCAAAATACCTTCTGCGCTTATACGCCTTCCTAAGTAATCAATGTGGTTTTGTAAAAAAACTGCATTTGTTCCGTTTGCACCTGATGCCATACTTCTTAAGTATTGAAAAAACCTGATCTAGTCGTTGTACATGCTCCTGTAGAGTGGTTGACGCAACGATGATATCATCGAGGTAATTTCCACGCAAGGTATCGAATTCTGCAATTCGATACCTTGCAGAATTTATTCCAGATGTCTTTGAAACATTGACGGCGCACTAGCTATACTATTGGGCAATCTTTGGTACTCGAACAGTCCATTTGGTGTGTTCACAACGACCAGCTTTTTTAAGTCTTCGTCTAACTCAAGCTGTAAATATGCATCTTTTAAGTCAATTTTAGAGAAAATATGGCCATAGCGAAATTTAATAAAATAACTGCTCCCGTGTAGGTAATGAAAAACGTTCAACTTCGATTTGATTATTAATAGTTACTTTAAAGTCCCCGCAAATATGAATACTGCCGTCCTGCTTTGGTGCGAGAACGATTGGAGAAGCCCAATTGCTGAACTTAACAGGTTTCCAAATACTGTTTTGCACTAGTCGATCAGCTTCCACATTAAATTTTTGAAGTAGCGCGAATAGCCCCTGACGACATTTAAAATATTTTTGTACAGCTGTTGACTTCAATTTAATGCTCGCTTTAAAATTAGAAATCGGATCTGTTGTCGATTCAAACAATTCTTGGTAATTTGTTAATAATTTTTTACATTCTTCTTCTAACATGATTGAGTCCTGAATAATATTATTAATTTGTCCAATATCGAAATTAAAAACCTCAAATAAATCCATGCCAAATAAATTTTGACCACTTTCGACTTTAGCAATAACCAGCACAGCTTGTTTTTTTAATTTTCCATATTTTATTTTTTTTTCGCATTTGCCTAAAGTTTCTATCACCTTTTTACTGTAACCATAAATTGGACGTGTGCAACTTCGAAGTTTTGACCTGCCTAACTGATTAAATGTTATTTGCGTTATGACCGAAACCGATGAACCTGACTCCATTTGAAAAATTATTGTTTTATTTAAAATTTCCACGTTAATATATTTTTTCTTTTTATCTTTTACTTTTTCTACTGTCGTATTATAAACACTTTCAATAACTTCTATTGCGTTTGCTTGCGCACTATTATTTTCATTATTTTTCGCTGTGGCTTTTAATTTTTTTGTATTTGTTGTTATTGTTGCTTGAGCACACTTTTGCGATATGTCCCACTTTATTGCAGTCATAGCAAACGGTTTCTCTAAATTTGCAGTCGCTACGTCGATGAGAGTCTCAGCAGCTGAAGCATTTCTTCTATCGTTTGTCTTTTTGTGCTCTGTTTTTTGCATGTGACGACGTGATTTCATTAACTAACGGCAAACTCTCTTGGGGTTGTTGTTTAATAGAATTTGTAATAGAATTTGCATTTGTCGTCGGATTAAAAGACTGCAATTAATAAAACATCTTTCAATGTAGGTTTTAATTACTGAAGTGCTGCTGCTCTTACGGTGTCATGAGGTGTATTAAGAATTAACATGTCCCTAATCATTTTATCAACATATGATTTGGTAAAATTTTCACCTGTACATTGAAATTAGCATTCTCTAGCTATTCCTTTTAATTTAGCTACCCATTCCATGTATGTTTGCGTTGGCTTCATCAAGCATTTATTGAAATTATATCGCGCTGCTACCATATGAATTTGTTCTTGGAAATGTTCCATCAGCTTTTGCACCAACTCTGCAAATGGGATGCCCTCTAAATCATTCTTCCCGAATAATTTTTTCAATAGCTCAAAAGTCTCTCCACCAACCCATGTTAAAAAAAACGCTTTCTTTTTGAGCTCCGTGGTGACTGCATACGCCGAAAAATGTTGAGTCATCTGCTGCATATAGGATTCCCATTTAGTGTGCTCCTTTCCGAATGCTGGAAATGTTAGACCCAATGTACCTTCATTATTATTTGAAGTGACTCCCCGTAGTATTGTTTGCGAAAATCGTTTCTGGTTATCCAAAAGGCCTTTCATAAAAGCATTCTGATCCGATATTATCTTAGCAATCTCGTCCGCCATATTGCTAAAGTTTTTTGTTTCGCGATCACGTGGTTTACTTCCGTTCGTTTGGCCTCGTCGCCAGTGAAATGTTTAGATGTTACTTCCAATGAAGTCTGCCTTGAACTGCCTTGAACTGATTTATCATGTATCAAATTACAAAATATAACTTAAGCTGTTGCTTATTCAATCGAGAGCGAGAGAGACTTGTTGTTTGTTATTTTTGTATTTAACAAATAATAATATACTTAATATTAATACATAATAATATACAATTTAAATACATAACAGTTATGACGTTTGATGGTACAACTATCAGTACTTTCACTTGGAGTAAGTTTTTGTACATTTTAATGCCTTTAAAATTGCACAGAAGAGGAAAGTTGCACGAACTGTTATCTCCGTATATTATCTTTCCGACAAATCATTAAGATTTTCAGATAAAGCTGAGAAGATCCGACAAATCCATTTTCGTTGTCTCTACCAGATTTGTGAAGATACAATATGCAATGCGTCGAAGTCAGGATGTGTCTGTAGTCCTAGAAAAATAGGTAAAAATAGTTGCTGAATTTTATTTCCTCTTTATAGTGGCACCCCAATCATTAAGATTTTCAGATAAAGCTGAGAAGATCTGACAAATCTATTTTCGTTGTCTCTACCAGATTTGTGAAGATACAATATGCAATGCGTCGAAGTCAGGATGTGTCTGTAGTTATAGAAAAATAGGTAAAAATAGTTGCTGAATTTTATTTTCTCTTTATAGTGCACCCCATTCACAATTCACCCCAGTTTGAACACTTTATTGTCTTATGTTGAACCTTTTTCGAGTTAGTGCATCTGGGTACTTTTAGTATTTGATAGCAGAGGGGGTTTCTGTAGAGCCCTACTCTTCTCAGTGACTTATTTGTGTATTCCTCAAAAGTTTCGTTATTATTTGATGACTGTAGTACGATCTGCGTACCATCCCTCGCGGCTAGTGATTATTCTGAGATTAGATAGTGCTCAGTAGGGCAGCCTAAGGCCTTCTAAGGTCTTTTAGCATGTCATTCGTGCGGATGTACCATGGCACTTTGAAGAATCTTCGCAGAACCTGACTTTGAGGAACTTGCAACTTCTGGGTAGTAGAATTGGCAACTTTACTATATGCGACACACCCATAGAATAGTGTTGGTCTGATTATTTGGTTGCCGATCAGCTGTTTGTTGTTCACGCTAAGGTATTTGAAAATTAGTTGTAAACAGTACAGTGTTTTTGCGCAACTAGTTCTTTTGACTTGTATGTGCTTGTGCTAAGTGAATCGCTTTTTAAACGTAATTCCCAGATATTTGATGCTGTTCTCCCAATTAATCGCAATGCCATCAGTTCTCACTCTCGGTGGTTGCTGCTTATGTTATAAACAGGGCTTTAGTTTTTTCGTTAATTTTTATGTTTAATTTCTGGAAGAATTCAAGGATGAGATTAACATGGTCTCGCAATGTGTTGGTTATATTTCTGCCATGTTTATCGGAATATAAGAAGCACGTGTCATCTGTGTATAATTCTAGTACCGAGGGACTTAACATTAGGATGTCAGACGTAAAGATGTTGTATAACAAGAGGGAGTGCGGAGATCGTTGACGAACACTGGCTTCTATTCCTTGGACTGATGAGATGATACTGAAATTGAACAACCAGGAAGCTGCCGAAGATTTTGGTCAGCCTGACTGGGACTTCCCTAAACCCAAACTGCTCGAGTTCATATTGCTCGGGAGAATATTAAGGGAGTTCAACGAAGTTTTAGGTCTATGGAATCACTCTTTCAGCCAACTTACCCAGAGCAGGCAGTAAGCTAATGTGGCGCCAGTTCTGCGGGAATTTCGGGTCCTTGCTGGGGTTAGGGAAGACGACAACTGTGGCCTGTTTCCAGATCTTAATATATTTATCTAGTTTAAACATACTTTTAAATTATGTTTTCGGTGAGATGGATCACATCTTCCGGTAGGTTACGTAAGCATATGTTGTTAATTTTGTCGTACCTTGGTGCAGATCTTATCAATCTTGAGATAATTAGGGCGATTTTATCACAAAAGCAAGGCAGGATGTCCTCATTAGGCTCTTATAAGCACAGTATAGTCGAGGTTATTAGACATGTTAAGGTCTATAATGTGGTCGACTCCTCTAACAAAGTGTGTTGGTTCATTAAGCACGTGCAGCTGCAGGAAGTAGTGAATCGCAGTTTCCGTGATGTGTATTCAAGTCACCGGCCAAGAAAGGCACTATATAGTTATTAAACTGTACTTTAAATTATCCTAGGTAGACTTGTATATTCGGTGGCATCAGCACAATAGCACTATTCCCCATTAACACACTAGAAAGCACTTATTTATTATTTTGGAATGTGTTTTGGCCGTCACGTCTGCTGCTTTGTTCTGATCAATATACTTATGTCCAGAAATCCAGCGAAGATAGATCATCTCTCTACTTACGTTACTGAAGGTGCCCTTGATGTAAAGAAGTCTGCTGACGCGTGCAGCATGAAGACTATTCTCCGTTGATATTCGCTTGAGCCATGCGTGTTGTATGTTATCTATTGTTAAAAAGGAGCCGTCATATAGTAGCACTTTCAAGACAGTAATATGACGTAGGTATGTGGTTCGACTCTGATCAAGTCAGAGTATGTCATTAACATATTAGGACATCATTAAATTTATTACAACGGCTACCTTATAGTGTTAGAGCTATCGAAGTTCCGGACAGTATCCGGAGTCTCAATGTATAACTTAAGTGGTTCAGAGAACTATTGCTGAAATTCTCTTATTCCAATTACAATACTACTTTTGTGAACATTCAAGCTGATTTTATAGCTCTTTCAGTCTTTTGGCGGCTACTTTTCACCTTGTTGATGAATTTTCTGTTGGATTTAGCTTTCAGCTATCTTAGTTCGATGTCCCAACTAACCGGCTTCGGTTTAGCTTATGACCTAGTCAGGGGACAGGCTAATTCAAACGATTTCCTTAAAATATCCATCATACGACCCACTAATTTGTCAATAACATTCCTTTTGCTTGCTTTGATTTTTGAGCGCCTCTACCGTTAGACAGTATCTTTGGGACTTTCATGAAGCCATGAGCCTTCATTTTCTCAGTTGACAGTTGTTAGAAACAGAAAAGATGTCTACCTTTAAAAAGTTGGCGACCAAAGTAATATCAGTAACTTTGTTCCAAGAAGTTATACCAACACATTTACTGTTGGTATCACTGCTACCCTAAAGCCCGTAGTCTTTTTTTGCTTTACACCATTTCCCTGAATCCAATTAGAGCATTTCTACTTTTTTCCAGAAGGTTAAAGAAAAAGTATGTATTCTGTTTTAGCAACTATACTGGCTTTACCTTGTGTGTAGAGTATGATCACGTTATTATCTGTCTATTCCAAGTCACCTTACTTTTAGTATCGGTGCTTGGACAACGGTAATATTTGTCACAATTTGCGATTTATTTGTAAAATCGAGTTGGGCTGATATAGAGTGATTAGTAGATATATTTTCCTCTATTTTCAGTTTTTCCGCTCGTTTGTTATTTATTATCTTGCGCAAGAAATCTTAGCAAATCAACGAGTATTTGATCATTCCTTTCTGCCGTTTAGTATAAAGAACCACAATTAATCAACCGCCATCATTGTGTACATTTCTGTTTCTTTTTTGCTACGATCTGTCATCCCGATGTTATTAACCACTAGTTCTGTCACTCGATGAGTTTCAGTAGGATACCTGGTGTAACGACACTCTTCGGGAGCGTTCAAATATAGAATTTGGCGGGAATATTTTCAGTCGTCGCTCTTCCAAGTAGTGGATTTTAGGCAAGAATACACATGCAAACTGCGTTCCAGACAAATACATAACAACATTGCGGAACAAACTACAAATACACAAGTAGACTCCACAGAAATAAGCCTGAAACACAATGTAAGAGTTTCGAACTTAAACAAAACCAATCCAACAGTATGGTTTGCACAATTGGAACGAATTTTTCGTTTAAAAAATATTCGAGATGATATAGACAAATTCAATTGGGTTGCAGTAAATTTGGATGAAGATATCGTGATGGTTGCTGAAGATTTAATTACGAATCCTCCGACAAATAATAAATATGAAACAGTTAAGACACGTTTGTTGGAAAAATTTGCAGAATCAGCCGAATCCAAATTGCGGCGCCTGATTTGTACACAGCTTTTCAAAGACTTACTGACCAAGTTAAAAAGCTGCAGGTTGAAGTTAAACAACTCAGAAAAACAACCACGAGTCGCAACGGTTCTCGATCACGCTCGCCCAAAACTTTAAGCGATGTCAACGGTCAACAGCGACGTCATAACAATTTGTGTTACTACCACACCAAGTTTGGGGACAGTGACACCAAGTGCAAGCCAAGCTGCTCATGATGGGCACCGTTAAACTAAAAACTGTCGTCAAGCATACTGGTTGACTGCAGTCGCAAACAACTTGACCACATAACCAGTGATTCATCAGTAGCAGAAATACAACCATTCATAAATAGTAAACGTCTTTTTGTCACCGATTGCAGATCATGTTTTCGTTTTTTGGTTGACTCGGGCTCAGTTGTATCAGTAGTGCCACGACATTTGGTGAAATTCAAAACAACACAAAGAAAGCTCCAACTATACGCAGCGAACCAAACTCTCATCACCACATTTGGCAACAACACAATGGAAGATCATTTAGGTGACAATTTATCATCGCAGATGTCGAAGTTGCTATTATTGGTGCTGATTTCTTAAACCATTTTCATTTGTTAGTTAATCTAAGAAGCAAACAACTTATAGACGACGAAGCTTAACACATAAGGTGGTCTTTTAGCTTCTCCGTTATCAATCATATCTACAATAGACGAGACAGCCAAGTTCAGCTGTTAATATTACACGACCAGTGTTGAAACAGTAATTTCCCGACGCTCAAAAGTATGTGGTGATTCATCAAATTGAGACATGAGGCAACATTGTGTTTGATCGTCCCAGAAGGTTATCTGGACAGAAACTTGCTATGGCAAAAGCCTAAATCACTTTATTACTGGACCAAGGTATTTGCCGTTTGTAAAAAAGTCCAGGGGCAAGTCCTCTACACATGGTGGCGAAAAATAATGTTGGTTGGCGTGCTTGTGGTGACTATTGAAAGTTGAACGCAATAACGATTCCGGAGAAGTATCCTATCGCTCACGTGCATGATTTTGCGGAAAAGTTACACAACAAAACATTGTTTTCAGCATTGTTTTCGACTTGGTGAAAACATATTACCAAATCCCAATGGCATAAGACGACATCCAAAAGACTGCCGTGAACACACCTTTCGGCCTGATTGAGGTCCAATATATGCCGTTCGGATTGAAAAACGCGACGCTGACATTCCAACGTTTCATGGACCAAATTAATAGCGGCGTTGATTTCGTGTATTTCTATATTGATGACATTCTTATAGCTTCAACGTTTACAGAGGAGCATGTTGACGAATCAACCAAAAACTAAGAACTAGGTCATGAGTTAATCGCTCACACCTGTTGCTTAATTTTTTGGTTGACGAATCAACAAAATATTATGAATTAGGTCATAAGTTAAGCGGTCGCATAGGTTGCTTAGAAAGCAATCTGTGCGAATTAAATAATAAATTAATTTAAGTAAATATTGTACATCTTGCAATTATTATTGCATTTTACTTTGTATAAAAGAAGAAACAATTTTAAATAAAAACAGTTATTGACTTACAATCAATATCTCCGCATTCGTATATTGTTCCCCCCACCAGTGGTAAGAAACTTATAGTTTGGTAATGAATATCGTTGTTCATTTTGGTCCTTCGAGCCGGATATTTGAAATTTCCCCCACCAGTGGTAAGAGTTTCAAATATACCAAACTAAGAGACTTAAGTCTAAGATTAAATCAAGTACAAGCGTACCGAGGCTTTTAACATCGGAGTGAAGTAAATACAAGCGTACCGAGGCTTTTAACATCGGAGTGAAGTAAATACAAGCGTACTGAGGCTTTTAACATCGGAGTGAAGTAAATACAAGCGTACCGAGGCTTTTAACATCGGAGTGATGTAAATACTAGCGTACAGAGGCTTTTAACATCGGAGTGAAATATATACAAACGTACCGAGGCTTTTAACATCGAAGTGAAGTAAATACAAGCGTACCGAGGCTTTTAACATCGGAGTGAAATAAATACAAGCATACCGAGGCTTTTAACATCGGAGTGAAGTGAATACAAATGTGCCATCGGAGTAAAGCAGAAGTGTACCGAGGCTTTCAACAAACACAAATCAATTACAAATAGAGGACATCATGGAGAACGAAGAGATAGACCAAGCTATCCAACAACAAAAGGAAATTGAAGGTGAGATCCAGAGGATCTGGATAAATTTTAAAAAGGGTTCTACCACAAGATACTCAAGACAGTATTTTGAGACGCGTTTGGAAAATTTGCGTCAGAAATGGGACGCATTTGAAGACAATAATGATAATCTGATCAAAAATTTGATCAGATCATGAATATATCACAAAAAATTACTTTGGCGAGTTACAACAAAGACGGAATGAAATCGAGAATCGATTTAATAATGAATTGAAAATACTAAAGCAAAGAGAGCAAGAAGAAGCTCGGTCATCAAGGAATCAAGACGTAAGTATCAATGACGAAGTCACCATCACCGAGCCATGTGATATTACGAACAAATGTTGAGCAACCTTAAGTACAAGTCTGTTGCAGATCAAAGAGACAATAGACTTAACGAAAAGTATTAAAACGTTACAGTTTAAGTTTGAAAAACTAAAGAATTGTTGGCCAAAAATATCAAAATTACACGATGAATGCCTGCTCAGCAATGATGCAATTGACTATGGAGATTTCATTCAACTGGAATCGATATACGAAGGAGTATATATTCAGTTAGAAGAAGAACTGAACGTTCGTAGTCAAAACGTTTCAGATACAAGAACACCTGTAAGTAACAATATCAAACTACCACCGTTGAATGTACCAATATTCAACGGCAGATTTGAAGAGTGGTGTCCATTTTGAGAACTGTTCGACAGGTTAGTTCAACAAAACCATAATCTAGTGGATGTAGAAAGAATGCAGTACTTAAAAGGAAGTCTGTGGGGAGAAGCCACGAGGCTCATAAATCATTTAACAATAACGGCGAACAATTATACAGCGGCAATTGAACTGCTGAAACAAAGATACAAAAATCCAGTAATACTTGTGGACAATCTTATTAATAAGTTATTGTCGCTCAGAGTAATAAGAAACGAAAATGCACAGGACTTAAAAACATTAATAGGTGCTTCTAGAGAAGTGTTATATGGTATACGTAATTTAAATGTGGACACGTCAAGTTGGGATCCACTAATAATTCATATACTGCTTCCAAAATAAGATGGTGAAACCAGAAAATTATACCAACATTCAAGAGGAGCATCAACACAAATACCAAAATCAAACAGCTTATACGAGTTTATTGAGAGCAGAGTTAGAGGATTGGAGGCAGCTCGTGACACAAATCGCGAAAATAAGAATAATTTTCGACCAACAGCTGTAAATACAAAAACGCATGTTACTACAGTGCATACGCTATGTTTGGTGTGTAATAGTAACTATCAATTAATTCGATGTTCAAAGTTTCTAAATATGAAGGTGCCGGAACGGCGTGAAAAGATTATGAGCTCCAAGTTATGTTTTAATTGCCTTCAGAGTGGGCATTTTAGTAAGTTGTGCTTGAATAAAAGAAGTTGTACAATTTGCGACACAAAACACCATCATCTTTTGCATGAACAAGTTAAAGGCAAACCAACATTCACAAATAACATAAATAAGCAGAGGATGCCAATACTGAAGAACACCACGGAGACCGAAGTGGCAGCGTCGTACAACATCCAAAAGGAAAAAACTGTTTTACTAGCAACAGCAATGGTAATTAAAAGGACTAAAAAACAACTCAATCCGATACGAGCGCTTCTTGATCAAGGATCACAATCTTGTATAATAACAGAACAATTAGCAAGATCAATCAGAGCACCATTGACCAATTATCAAACTCATGTAAAAGGTATCAATGGGCAAATAACAAGCGTGATAGCCAAATGCTCATTAGAAATTCAATCTATACATGATAAGTATAAGAGTTGTCATATCGAAACAATAGTGTTACTAAAAATCACATCACAAACGCACAAATGCAGAATTCACGCCAGAAAAATGGTCGCATATCGATGGATTGCAGTTAGCAGATCCTTGGTATGCTGAACCAAAGGAAATACAATTGTTAATTGGGTCGGACGTGTTACCAGAAGTGTTTAAAGAAGGATTAATTAAAGGGTCAGACAGCTCTCCAATGGCTCAAAACACACTATTTGGATGGATTTTTAGGACCTTTAGATGTAGAGCGTACAATCACAAACAAAATAACGTTATGCACCATGGCTTGCAGCAACAGCGATGAGTATTTAAAACGGTTTTGGGAATTAGAGGAAATTCCAAATGCAGACTTAAGAACAGTAGAAGAAAGGCGTTGTGAGAGACATTATGATTCAACTTGCACCCGCGATAAAACAGGACGTTACATCGTTAGGTTACCGCTAAAAAATGATAGAGAAACGTTAGGTGAGTCCAGAAAAATGGCATTGAAACGGTTCTTTTCACTAGAAGAACGACTTCAGAAGAATCCAGCACTAAAACAAGAGTATGTGAACTTTATGCAAGAATACATTAAGCTGGGTCACATGAAGGAAGTTAATGAAAAACCAAAGACAAAGGTATATTATTTGCCGCATTATGCAGTTATTAAAGAAGACAGCACGACAACAAAACTTCGAGTGGTGTTTGATGCGTCCGCGAAAACGACATCAGGACAATCACTGAACAGTATTATGATGACAGGTCCTACATTACAAAAGGATTTATTCATTCTATTATTGCAGTGGAGAATGTTTAAAATAGTTTTTACGGCTGACATTGAAAAAATGTATCGGTAAATACTGATTCATCATGATGATAGAGATCTTCAACAAATTTTATGGAGAAACGATCGGAAAAAAACAATAAAAGAATTTAGATTGAACACGATTACATATGGTACTGCCTCAGCACCATATCTTGCCATCAAGACATTGTTTAAGCTAGCAGAACACGAAAGAATTAATTATCCTTTGGCATGTGAAACCTTAAATGAAAAGTTTTATGTAGACGATTGTTTGAGAGGCGCTAATACTATTAAAGAATGTAAACAAATACAAGAAGAATTAATCCTATTATTGCGGAAGGGAGGTTTGAATTTAAGAAAATGGGCATCAAACGAACCGGAAATGTTGACGAATATCCAAATAAAAGTCATTGAACCAGGGTTAGAGATGCAATTTAACAACGAACAAGCAATTAAAATTTTAGGAATAAAATGGTCTCCTAAATTGGATCAATTTGAATTTAAAATAAATATCACGTCATTCAGCTCAAAATACACAAAAAGAGCAATTCTAAGTGATGCTGGAAAACTATTCGATCCATTTGGTTGGCTGTCATCTGTAACCATTAAAGCAAAAATCATGATACAAAAATTGTGGATGTTAGGAATTAGTTGGGATACAGAGATCCCACCTAATCTACAGGCACAATGGGAAGAATTTAAAAGTTCAGAAAATTACCATGAAAAGATGGACACAACATTCAGAGAATAGTTTAATCGAGTTAGATGGATTTGCAGCATATCAGAAACAGGATATGCTGCAGTTGTATACACAAAGGTTATCAATGCAGAAAGGGCTACAATATCCCTAATAGCATCAAAAACCAAAATTGCGTCTATTAAGCAGGTGTCATTAGCCCGATTGGAGTTATGTGCAGCTGTGCTATTTACAAAGTTAATTAATTATATTCAGAAGAATAACAAGATTACCTATAGTAAAATTATTGCATGGTCAGATTCAAAAATTGTATTAAACTGGCTAAAGTAATACCCAAACAGATGGACTACGTTTGTAGCAAACAGAGTATCGAATATTCAGGATACGTTTAAGGGGCAATTTAGATTTGTTCCAGGAAAAGATAATCCAGCAGATATTCCATCAAGGAGAGTGTATGGTGACAATCTTATTTCAAATACATTATGGTGGCATGTTCCAAATTGGTTAATAAAAAATGAAGGAAATTGGCCAGAAAATGATGTAGTAATAGATTTGAATCTTATTCCAGAAACCAGAAAAACTGCAATATGTACCGTCGTGAACGTTACCAACGATGAAGAATTTATTAATCGATTTTCCTCATTAAACAAACTTCTTCGAGCTTACTGTCTTACATTCGTTTATAATTGTCAAAGAAAGAAATCCAAAAGAAAGTTCGACAAACTAACGACAGACGATATCGATGCAGCGGAAATTGTGTTGGCGAAGCAGGTGCAAAAATGTTTTACAGATGACATCAGACAACTTAACCTTCAGAAACATTAATGAAAAGTAATAAGTTGTGTTCATTAAACCCATTTGTTGACAGTGCAGGAGTACTAAGAGTGGGCAGCAGATTAAGAAATGCGAATTTATCTGACAACCAAAAGTATCCAATAATTTTACATACAACAGTACTTTAGCATATTAATACGATTCATGGAGGATTAATATTGACGCTAAACCACGTCCGGGAAAAGTTTTGGATTATAAGTGGAACAATCGCTGTAAAAGCTTGCATCAATAAATGTCAAAAGTGTTTCCGGATGAAGGCAAAAGGACAATCTTAATTAATAGGAAGTTTAGCGACACCTAGAGTAAATGTCTCAAGGCCATTTACACACTACGGCATAGACTATGCAGGCCCATTGCACATTAAATGCTCTCAATTCCGGGAAATTAAAACGCATAAGGCGTATATAGCTATTTTTGTATGCCTGGCAACAAAGGCAATTCACATTAAGTTAACTTCAGATCTGACATCTCAAGGATTTTTAGCAGCACTCAAACGAATGATAAGCAGACGTGGAGCAGTACATCATATTTATAGCGACAATGGTACCAATTTTACAGGTGCAAACAACATTTTACAGAAGATTCAAATAGAGAATCATTTAGCCGAAACAGGTATACGTTGGCATTTCATCCCTCCTGGCTCACATCACTTTGGTGGTCTCTGGGAATCAGGAGTAAAATCCATTAAATATCATCCAGCTAGAATTTTAGGTGACCAAAAATTGACATATGAGGAATTAAGTATGGTCTTAACTCAAATCGAATATTGTCTTAATTCACGGTCACTTTGTCCATTAACAGACAACATTGAAGACCTTAATGCACTTACACTAGGACATTTCATTGTGGGATCGTCATTGATGACTTCAACGCATAATAGTCTTATTAACTTTACAGAAACCAGCCTAAAAAGATGGAAAATTGTGCAGAAAATAAAGCAAGACTTTTGTAAACGGTAATTCCAAGACTTTGTAAGAAATATTCAACAACAGAGATACAAATGGACAAAATCAATACCAAACTTAGAAATCGGCTAGGCAATCAAAATCGACAGTTTTTGCTATATTTTTGGCATATCTCATATTAGGAACTACATTAGCAACACCCACAGTAACATATCCCGAATCAGGATTATTCATTGAAGGATTAGGCAAAGCCAAAATACAGAGAGGAACACTATCACATAACCAATCCGTGACATAATTCAAGATCAAAGGAACGTTAATAACACCATAAAACAATTAACAGTGTTGTGTACCAAGTCAAAGGCTGTCAATCCTTATATACAATGTGACGATTTAGTTTCCAATTTAAATCATGAAGGGCGCATCTTAAGAACTACCATTGATCGATTGTTGACGACAGAATCATCAGTTACAAGAAGTTCCCGAGGAATATTAGGTACAGTGTTAACAACACTTTTTGGCGTAAACGATGAAGTGTATCACGATATTGAAACGTTGGATCGAAAGCAGAAATTATTAATTCAAAACACCAAATCAAATGCTAGAATCATGATATCCACAATAGCGGCAGTAAATAACACAGAAACTAAAATCATCAACAAAATCAAAAGCTTTAGTAAAAGACTAAACGAAGGATTGCAGGCTATCAGTCAGATGCAAGGTTGGCATGATATCGGAGAAGGAAATAAACTGAACATATATGTACTTAATTCATATATAATGGCATCCAATTACATTCGAGAAGTAGAATCAAAATACAACAAGATCTTCAATGTATATTTGAAACGCAGTCATATTTATGAATTCCTTTCACATGATGAAATCAGTGACATTATAACTCGATGTTCCGCAAAAATTGGATTAGAAATGTATGTCTTGCCAATCCCGATGAACAGATTGGAATATGTTCGAGATACTGATACGTTATAATTTATGGTTATTTCACAATTAGCGATATAGAAGAATATGAAATCATTAGATTCAACACGATTCCGGAAAGAATTGATGATAATATATATCAAGAAATCGAATTGTTAACATCCACATTTGGCATCAATTATAGCAAGAAAAAATATTTTGACATAACTATCAGACAAATGGAGACGGCAACCAAGCTGAATAATGTTACTAGGTTACTTCACCCAACAATATTTCGCAACATTGACGAGAGTTCCAATTGTGTAATTAGGCAATTGTATAACAAATTATCATTCGATAACTGTTCGTCAAAAAGATTTCAAGTTATACAACAAGTTTGGAGAGAGCTTTGGACACCCAATGCTTGGATATTCATTACACCAAATATAACGACAATTCATGTAATTTGTCATATTGAACGTGAAGAAGTAGTTTTGAACTATACGGGAATCATCCACATCTCTCCAGATTGTATAATACACTCTAAGACTTATTCAACTTGAAGGAAGAATAATGAAAGAATTCCAATCAATCACACACCACGTTAAACCAATCAGCATTAAACATCACGATGCCAGACAAGAAAATGTATAAAATTACAAATGAAACCGTTTGTAATTTTCTTGCATCCAATTGATGCAAGACTTATCAACTATGTTTTTGTACTCCGCAAGGGATGCTCAGGACAATCTGGACCAAGTCAATGAAATATCTTGGAAAACAATAATAACCCATCAATATTGGATAAAATGGGTTATCTGGGCCACAGCAATAATGGTTGGTTGGTTGGTTGCAGTGGCAGGTCATAAGATAACTTCAAATGTACCTCAATTAGCGATTTTTCGCCGTTTTGTTACCACATTCCTCGCAAGAACCCTAGTATAGAAGAGTAGAGACTAAATCCATCCCACCGAATTTAGGTAATTTAACAGGTCTTTCATCCTTACCATTGAGCAGTCTGATAAACTATCACAAAAGTATTTTCCTAAGAACCTATGTCTTCTGGATGCTAGAGCTGGGCATTCACAGAGAAAATGTATTATTGTTTCTTTCTCCCGCGGGTTTCCACAACTTCTGCAGTGAGAGTTATGGGGAATACGCAGTTTCTCTGCGTGAGTTCCTAACCACCAATGACCAGTAAGAACCGCAATAAGCCTTGCAGTGTTTACGCGATCTTTTTTGATGAGTTCCAGAGATTTATTTTTACATATTATAAGTGGGCCACGTTAACCTGGAAGTTGCACATGACCTTAGTGCTTTCCATCTGTTATTGGCGAGTTGCAGAAAGTAAAGAAAGGTACTTCTTTTGATGGTCTCCAGGGTAATATAGACTGATACCGCCAGTGACGCATCTAGGGAGGCACCAGAGCGGGCTAAACTATCAGCTTTCTCATTCCCTACGATGTTCCTATGCCCAGGAACCCAGATGAGTGTGATATCAGCCAACCGGTTTAGCTCGTCGATTGCTTCTCTACATTCTTTTACTATTTTTGATTTTGTTATAAAGGATTCAAGAGCTTTAATTGCTGCCTGGCTGTCAATAAAAATAGCAACACTACATCTGTTCTCGATATGGCTTGCAATTTGCCGACAGGCTTCTTTTATTGCTAGGATTTCAGCCTGAAAAACCGTAGCTTCGTTAGGTATCCTAAGAGAGATATTTATATTTTTAGATGGTGCGAAGATTCCTGCTCCTGCCCCATCGCTCATTTTCGAGCCATCTGTATATATTGAAATATCGTAATTTGCTTCGAAATTTTTCCTTTTCCACTCATTTCTTGAAGGGAATATTGTCTGGAAGTTCCTTTCGAAGTCTATACACGGATTCAGATAATCCGATGTCATCCTATACAGACAATTTGGAACTGTACCTAGAATCCGACTATGTCCATATGTTCGTTCTAACCATACGCCTGTTACTTTCAGTCTTACAGCGCTATTACAAACCATGTTTTTAATGTGAAGATCAATAGGTAGCAAATGCAGCATCACGTTTAGGGCGTCCGAAGGAGTCGTCCTAAAAGCTTCTGTGATGCCTACACATGCCGTCCTCTGAATTCTGTTAAGTTTGTCGATATTATAGCTCTTGTTTAGAGCCGGCCACCATACGACAGCACCATACGTGAGAATTGGTCGTACAATTGCCGTGTACATCCAGTGGGTAATTTCGGGACGAATCCCCCATTTTTTGCCAAACATCCTCTTGCAAGAATAGAAAGCTACACATGCCTTCTTGATACGAAGATCGACATTGTGTTTCCAGTTTAACTTACTATCCAACAGAATTCCTAGATATTTGGCTTTTTCCGATAGTTTTAACTGTTGCCCGTTTAGTGAAGGCAACCTGAAAGCTGGTATTTTGGTTTTTGTAGTAAACAGCATCATTTCAGTTTTTCCTGGGTTAATACCTAGTCCACAACCTGTGGCCCAGGTATTTATCTTAACCTTTCCATAATGTCGCTAATTATGTTAGGGAACATACCTGACACTAGAATAACCACGTCATCCGCGTACGCTACTGCTTTCACACCTATCGTATCTAGACTGTTAAGAATATTATCCACGACCAGCAGCCACAGTAATGGTGAAATAACCCCTCCTTGTGGCGTACCCCTGCTGACGTGCTTCGTTTGTGTTATGCTGCCTAGCTTTGATTGAATAATCCTTGTTTTAAGCATAGTAACTATCCAATTTTTAAGTTCTTCCTCTAAACCTATTCTGGAAAGAGAGTCATGAATAGCTTTATTGCTTACATTGTTGAAAGCTCCTTCAATATCTAAGAAGGCTGCCAACGAGTATTGCTTAAAATGAATCGATTTTTCCACAGTACGAATGACCTCATGCAGAGCTGTTTCCGTAGATCTACCCTTGAGGTAAGCATGCTGGGATTTAGAGATTGGAAAGCGTTCTACCTTTTGTCTTAGGTGGAGCTCTATTACCCTCTCCATTGTTTTTAGTAAGAATGAAGTTAGGCTAATCGGCCTGTAATCTTTGGCGGACTCATGTCCGATTTTGCCTGCCTTGGGTATAAAGACTACTTTAACCTGTCTCCAACTAAGTGGTACGTAACTATATTTAAGACATGCTTTGTAAATTTCCCCTAACCATGGAACCACTAAGTCTTGTAGTTTTTGTAACATAATAGGGAAAATACCGTCCAAACCTGGCGATTTATAGGGACAGAAACTGTTAATTGAATACCTAATTTTTTCCGCTGTGACTATTGCTTCAGTCATCTGCGATGACCACAGCAATAATAATAATAATATTCGTTGGAGTACTATATTATATATGTCACATTAAACCGCAAATAGCATCAACACCAGCCAATAACCATAGATCAACATCCACTTATGATATTGCTTGGTCTTTTACATAATCAACAACCTGCTGAGGCTACCAAATTTAAACCAGTTCGTAATACCAACTCAGAGACGGCATAATGTTAACGAATCAACAAAAAACTAAGAACTAGGTCATGAGTTAATCGCTCACACCTGTTGCTTAATTTTTTGGTTGACGAATGAACAAAATATTATGAATTAGGTCATAAGTTAAGCGGTCGCATAGGATGCTTAGTAAGCAATTTGTGCGAATTAAATAATAAATTAATTTAAGTAAATATTGTACATCTTGCAATTATTATTGCATTTTACTTTGTATAAAAGAAGAAACAATTTTAAATAAAAACAGTTACTGACTTACAATCAATATCTCCGCATTCGTATATTGTTTCCTCCCACCAGTGGTAAGGAACATATAGATTGTTCAGAGCATGGATATCATCTCCGAACAGTGTTTACCATTTTGCGCTCACATAAACTCACGATAAATGTCAACAAAAGCCAATTTGGTAAATCGGAAATTCTCTTTCTGGGCTACACGGTCAGCAAGAATGGTATTAAACCACCACAGGACCACATTGAAGCAATAGCGAATTACAAGCAACCTGACATAGTCAGTGAGCTAACATGTTGTCTAGGTGTTCTGAATTACTACCGGTGTTACATACCACACTTATCGCAACATCAAGTACAGCTTAGTGATCTGGTACGAAACATTAAAAAGAATGACAA